ATCCATATTACAGCTTTTTCACTAAGACATGAGAGGGAGAGCAGAGTGAGAGGATATAAATGCATCATATTGCGTGGCAATAGTACTGCTGAAATAATAAATTATTCAGAAACCGTGATGGAAATTACTTTTTACATTTGATGACATAAATGGAATAAAACTAATTAAAGACAGAAATTAAATTAATTTGTTTTGTTTAAAAAAACAGAACAAACAGACAATATTAATGATTGGTTTTAGGCCTAGACAATAGTGCAACCAGTAGAATCACAAATTCAGTCAATGTAAACAAAGCATCCCTTTAACTTCAACACATACCATGATCATAAAGCCACTGGTTACCACAGCACCTTTTAGGCACCTCATTTCCTAGTAGTGTTATATCAGATAACTAACTGTAGCACCTAATTTAGCATGAGAATACTGAAGGACAGACTCGAGTAAGTATAAATGGATAAATGTGTTGCTTCAGGTACTGCACTATTCTATCAAATCACTGATGTGAGGGTACAAAAGAGGCAGAGGATGAAGAGAATGAAGATTATGCAGCATTGCCTGACAGTTCAATGACCTCATCCTTCTTTTCATCTCAGCTAAGCTCAGTTTGATTCACTTTTATTGTTCAAAGGAGATATTTAGCATGCAGTGGGACACAGTTTATAAAATATAACACATCTACAAAAAAAGTTACAGCATCATATCATGCTCGTCCTCTTGTATAACATAATGTATAATGTCTAGCAGCAAGCTTGTGTGCTTTAACCAACAGGTGTCGCTTAAAATTGGAAATTACGGAGTTCAGGTTTAATATGGGTGATTCAGCCCTTGTGAATGGGTACAAGTAATTAAAAAACTGCACAAATAAAGATCAAAAAAGCCCAGTGAGAAGCTCACATGTGGGAATGATCAATCAATGGGAACCAGGTGTTTGAACGGTGAAAAAGCTACAGGTGCAGCTAGCAAAACATTTTCAAAAAAGATTTTGTTCTACTTGTATAGAATATACCAGCTGTTATAACAATGTGAGAAGGTGACTCAGTTCTTTAGGAACACTTCTCTCTACATCCACCTGAGATGGCATCTCGGCACAGGGGATGGCCTACATACCGAATCTCACAGCCTCCAGGGTTGGACATTGTCTGGTTCTAACTTATACTGTCTTTGTCTCTTTGTCTAGAAGTTACAGCCTTTTAAATGACCGATTATTGCACTGAATTTGAAAACAACAAGAAAAAAGAAGGGAACTAGTTTGTATAACATACTGTCAATCAGACAACATCTGTCTGTGGTGAAGTGGTGTTATTCTCTATAGGAAAATACCTGTATGTCACTTGAGACGAGATGAGTTCCGCGTGGTGAGCTATAGGAAAATACAATGACACCTGAGCCTCTGCTCTTCCTTCACAATGGCCTTGGGAGGTGGGCCATGATCGTAGTGGTTGAGCTCAGTTTCCTGCATGCATGTCTTGAGATGAAGTACCCTCTCCTACCGCACCTCATTGTTCCTCTCAATCCCCTCTATTATTTTGCGCATGCAATTATTCATTCTATTCATCTTAATCAGCTGCAAGCTTATCGTCTCCCCAAGTCACTTCTCTCAACTCCCTAAGAACACACACAGCTAGTCTAGGTCACAAAAGGTTATTCATGAAATTATTGGCTGTAGTGCAAATCACTTTCTGTGTCCTGTCTTATGAATCAAAGATGCAATAATGGCCTCCCTCTGAGCTGTCATTTCACGCTGTTTGTAGTACAAGTGTTTCATGGTAGTGCTGTAGAGCTCTAAGAATTAACAACTGGTATTAAAGGCCAAATCTGTGATCCCAAACAAAGAGGTCGAATCCCCATCATCAGGACAAAAAAAAAAAAAACTGATCGGAACCTGCTATCACTTCCTCAAGGACTGACACGTCTCTCGATACAAAGGCTAACAATAGACAGACAGGCAGACAAACAAACAAACAAACAGATAGATAGATACTTCATTTATCCCTTGGGGATACTCTTATGTCACAGCGAAGAGCTGTATGATGCATTAGCAAGTATATTTAGTCGTCTCTTGTTTGTTCCTGTGTAGGTTCGAACCTTTTTGTGTGAATTTGAAAAAAAGACGGACTGTGCCATTACAGGTTCATTTACATTGTTAAAAACAGCACTAAAGCAGACATATTTAACAGAAAGTGCTTTTTTTTCATCTATACAAGAAGCTGTTCAAATACTTGTGAACGTACCCTACCTGTAATTAATATGGCTACCGATCGCCCCTTTCACTTCTGATTTATTTGAATTAAGTCAAACAAGATTTATAGCTCTTCGGCTGTCACCAGCAGTAGCTTAATCTAATGTAAAATCTTTAAGCACCATGTAAACTGCACATGCATAACCTCTCAAAGGGACAGTCTGATTTAAAGAGCCTCCCATGCGGCTACGGCAAAGGCTTTCTGCATGGGTTGAGACTCTACGGCACTTATCTAATGACTCCAAGGACACAGGGAGGGTTTTTACTTTCATTTGACCAATTCACTGGACACCTGACACTGTACGACTACAATATGATATAGAGACGGCGCACCATGTAGGGCTGCTCGGGTCATGAGTGTTGTGTAGAGACCAAGATGTATAATGTGTAATGCTGAGAAGACATTCAGGCTCAAGATTCATCTCAATTATATAACACAGTCAGTATGGTTGCTTTGCCATCCACCCAAGCCCACCTGTCACTCCATGGGTGAGGTTAAAGAACACAAACATGCTTAATTAAACAGAGTAAAAATGAAGCGTTAGATCGGTTCACATGTTTAAAGATTTACATATTTGAGAGTAGTTGTAGAATTATTATTTTTAGCATTAACAGCTGTGCTCTTCTGGGAATGCAGTGTGATATTGTCAAAAGGCAAAAATCCTTTGGAAGTATAAAAATAGAACATAACATTTGGCTACATCAGCTACAGTACGTTTTCCTGATGTAGGTACGCGTTTGACCCCTAAGGGACAATTGTAAGATTGTGCATGAGGTAATCTGTCTGCAGATCAGGAGAACTTCCACCTGAAAGAGTGTGAGTGCAAATGGAATTAGTGTGACTGTGTGGCAGACGGCAGGGCACTCGGGATTTGGGAACGCACATGAGTGAACTGTCAAGTCTTCAGGGCCCAAATCAGGCAGGCAGACACAGAACGGATGTGGCCAGGCGATAAAAGCTGTCTGCACCCAGAGGGGCCTCGGCCCAGCTCCCGTGGGTAAAAACCCTTGACCCTGAGGCTCAACATCCAGTGCAGTGGCCAGGTTATCCGCTGCCTGGACGAGAAAATCATTTGACAGCCGTACTGACATACTACAGATTCATTTCAAACCAAACTAACATTTTGACACATACACTATGAGTTGTTTGTGTGTTGTATATCTAATCTTGTAATAATCTTGTAATATTCTTGTAAGCTAAAGTTTCAGGATGTAATTACAATGAATATGTAATACAGGGCATTGCATGGGGGAGAAATCTTCTCCAGTACCTACCTGTATGGAGCACCACAGGACGTTGGAATAAATTTACTGCATCCTCACAGAATGATTAATAATACTGCAAATTGTACAGAATGAGGTCGAATAAATAGAGTCCTTCTCTCTCCACCCCTGTACAGAGCATCTGGAATTGCATGTCCATGGAATCCGTGGCACACATACAAATCCCCAAGGAGCATGTTTAAATACACACACACATACCCCTCTACTGCCCTAACAATGGCAAACTTAGAACAGACAGAAGAGAACAGCTCGTCTGTTGTGATGGCACGCTGCTGATAAACTATAAATACAACCGAGACAGGCTGAAAATGTGATAGTCTTCCCTATCACTAGTAGGCCTAAAATATGACAGCCTCCTCGTTTCATAAAACACCTAACGAGATAAAGGTAGTGACTTGCATGATGGTCAATCTTTTTCATTACATAAAAATAAACATCTGTTAGGTCATGTCTCCAATGCCAGCCTTTTTAAGATTTGAAAGAGAAAAGCATAGGAAATGCCATGTGACAAAGTGGATCTGCTGTGAGGCCAGCTCTTCACTTACCCAGCCGACATCAAAAGACATGAGGACCCTTCAGTGAGGGCCAATTTGATTTTGAGTTGTGATGTTTAAAGAGAGCAAGATGGCGAGGAGGAGTGTGAAGTAACTGCAGTCACCGGTATTATACATACTAACACTATAAACCTTGTATTTGGAAGTGGGACAGGAAAAAAGTGTTCTCATAAACCATAATCTCCATCTTCATTGTTCCCATTATATTTCTTATCAGAGATTTACAAGGGGACAAACTTATCTGACTGACTCCAGTAAGATTGACTGCATTAGTTAATGGAAAATGTTAAAATAAAAATACACGTCACATTAACAGAGGAATAGATGAAAAATATGTGGTAGTCACTTTTTATCCTTTAAAAAGGTATTGAGAGAAACTCCTGATAACGTCCGTGACGACGTCAGTCATATAATACAAAATCTTTTTTTATTCAAATTAGAAGCACATGTAAAAAACTGTAGATGATGATGGTAAATTGGTCACACATGGACAGCTAATTCAGTGCAATGATCTACTAATATCAGTGGTCTTCTTTTTTGGGCCAGTAGCAAAACTATTTAGTGTTACTTACGTAACAGTGTTTTGAAATTCGGTCACTAAAAGCTTTCATGGTTATTTGGTGATGTTTCATACACAGGTATGGTGTGATTTGACCATTATGTCACAGAAAGATGCTGACATTGTTCTCCTCTCCTGTCACTCTCTACAGGGACTGGATTAAAGCACAAGGCTCCCACCCAGCTCCCTGTCTATGACTCATTAAAATGGAGATCAGCCAGTGATCCAGCTGTGAGGGGCCTCGATCACACACTGGGACTCCAGGCCTGCCCTTCTGCTCTGACCCTGCAGCTGGAGGCGTCACAGGAGCATGAGTGTGGGAAGGATCAATCGCTACAGCATTGTGTCATCTGAAGAAGAGGGCCTCCGCCTCACTACCATGCATGGCATGAACGGCTTTGGCAATGGCAAGATCCACACACGCCGCAAGTGCCGCAATCGCTTTGTCAAAAAGAATGGCCAGTGCAATGTGCATTTTGCCAATATGGACGACAAGTCGCAGCGCTACATGGCTGACATTTTCACCACATGTGTTGATATTCGCTGGCGATGGATGCTGGTAGTCTTCACTCTTGTATTTGTTGTCTCTTGGCTAGTCTTTGGCTTAGCCTTTTGGGTTATTGCTTTGCTGCATGGAGATCTGGATAACCCAGCTGGAGATGACAACTTCACTCCATGTGTCCTACAGGTCAATGGATTTGTGGCTGCCTTTCTATTCTCCATTGAAACACAGTCTACCATAGGTTACGGCTACCGCTGTGTGACTGAGGAGTGCCCAGTGGCTGTCTTCATGGTGGTCTTCCAGTCCATAGTGGGCTGCATCATTGACTGCTTTATGATTGGCGCCATCATGGCCAAGATGGCGAGGCCTAAGAAGCGAGCACAAACTCTGTTGTTTAGCCACAACGCTGTCATTGCCATGCGGGATGGAAAGCTGTGCCTCATGTGGAGGGTGGGGAACCTTCGCAAGAGCCACATTGTAGAGGCCCATGTCAGGGCACAGCTCATCAAACCTAGGATCACTGATGAAGGGGAATATATTCCTCTAGACCAGATAGACATTAATGTGGGCTTTGATAAAGGCCTGGACAGGATTTTCTTGGTTTCACCAATCACGATTCTCCATGAGATAGACGAGGAAAGCCCCCTTTTTGGGATCAGCAAACAGGACTTGGAGACAGCAGACTTTGAGATTGTTGTCATCTTGGAGGGAATGGTTGAAGCAACCGCCATGACCACGCAGGCTCGCAGCTCCTATTTAGCCTCTGAGGTCCTTTGGGGTCACCGTTTTGAGCCAGTCTTGTTTGAGGAGAAGAACCTATATAAGGTGGATTACTCTCACTTTCACAAAACCTATGAGGTGCCGTCCACCCCCCGCTGCAGTGCCAAGGACATGGTGGAGAACAAGTTCCTAGTCCCCAGCTCCAACTCCTTCTGCTATGAGAATGAGCTGGCCTTCCTAAGCCGAGATGATGAGGAGGAGGATGTAGGTGGTGGTAGCAGGGCACTTGGAAACCTCAGTCCGGACAGGAACAGCCGACATGAGTTTGAGCGCTTACAGGCCACCAGGGTGCTGGATCAAAGGTCATATCGTAGAGAATCGGAAATATGACCTCTACCCATTGACCCAGGGTCAATTTTCAAAAACTTTATCCAAGGGTAAAAATGCAGAACAATGCAAAGTGCCATAGGAAAAGCTGACTACTGTGAAAGATTGGAAAACAAAAAAGACAACAGGAAAGGGACTTAACTGGAAGGAATGGGGGAAAGCAAGAGTACACAGCTTAGAAAATTGTGGTAAGGAATGTCTACAATCAAGGAAAAGGCTAGAGAAAGACCTTCTTCCTTAATGGAAACTTGAATCTTTTTTCACATGGTCATTTTGAGTTAAGAGTATTCAATGATAGTGCATCAAAAAACTATTATGACAGAACCTTATAATCAAATCTTAGGTGTAAATACATTGCTTAGATAAGTTATGTTTTGTGTGCAGTATCAGTTTCCAAAAACACCTCTAAAAAAATAAAAGTTGTTTTTTCAACTTGTTCTTGAGCACAAATAATAGTGTTATAAGGCTTCTCTTAATCTCTCCTCGCTCCTTGCTGTGATATGCTGGACATGCGTTCAGTGACACATTGAAAATTCGTTCACTGCAGCATTCACACGCAATGAGCCATGATAAAACATCTGACCTGTAAGCCACTGAGAACAACATAATTCAACACCTTCATTTTGGTTTTGGTGTGATCCCAAAATCTACCAACTTAGGGAGAGTAGGCAAAGTTAATTAGCACTATAAGGAACAGAAAGGATTATGTTAAACAGAAATTAAATTGTTTAGAGAAACACTATTTATAATCTCTTAATGCCTCTTACTTTAAAGCCACCAACATGATGATTTGGCTAAACTGGCCTGCACATATCATGTCACAAACATTGCTAAGTAGTCAGGTAAAACAAAACTAAAGCACAATTGGTGGACAACCGACTTAAATAAATATTTTGTAATTTTACTAAATTTATTTTTTGCAAGATACAGATTGCAATATTTATGTTTTTATTTACCAAATTAAGAAACTGAATAGCAGCAATTTGTAACCTCACACAGAAATGCACCTTACAGTGTACCTTTATTTTCACAACTTGAAATATTATCTAATAAAAGTTCAACTAAACCCTGGATATTGGTAGTCATTAATGAGTTTCCTTCCATTTAATATGGAAATTAAGACTGTAACGAACTGGCGTAAACTGATTCCCTAATGTGTTTTTGTCCTCTTTAAAAATGAATCTATGCATATTGTTAAAAGTATTAGGGGACACAAACCCTAATGAGTTCTGTGTGAGATTAAATTATATAATGACGTAGAAAAACATTAGAAAAACAAATAAAAAATATATATAAATAAACTCAATTTCTAAGAGTAGCTGTTCTATATTATCAAACCAATTTGAAAAACGATACATTAAATTAGTTAGTCAAAATTTCACAAATCGCCAAAACCTTTAAATGTACACAGGAAGAATGCCAGAATGAGAAGTATTCCTGATGCATGTGTTTTTAACCACCCAACAAACATCCCTTCAAAATGCTAAACGAACAAGCATCAAAGGGCAAATGTGTCTACAACACTTTGGTTTTGCTAATAAGGTCAGAATAGTCCAAATGTATCAGCTAACTTACAGTAGCCGGCCCTAAATTTCTAGTCATTTTACATCAACAGTGAGTACATTTAACCGATCTTTACATTGTTATTAACAGAGTTTATCTCTGTTTCAAACATTACCTGCATTATAGACTAACGGCAGGGCAATTATATGGCAAATGTATCCTTTAACAGGTGAAATGAACGTGTGCAAGTAAGTTTGGCTAATAACTTGTTATCACTTCCATTGCTGTCCAAAAAGATATATATGACCAAAACAGCTTCATCCTTTTTCATTCCTCATGTTGATTCCTCTGGCATTTACAAACATCACATACTGTAGACAGCTAAATGCATTTTAGCAATATGGTTATACAATGAGTTAAGACACTGGACCCAGGTCTGAATGGAAGCAATAAACACTGAAGCACACCTTTCTGAATTAGTTTTAATAAGTATGTACTTAATGATTCTCTTTTAATACACTGAACATGCATATTTATAATTCTTGATTCACAGATAACAAGTGAAAGGCATGATGTGAGGTGAATGACCCTACTTTATTTTTCCGTCTTTATTGTTCTTATATGTATGATTTCTCAGATTTGATACCAAAGTAATGGTGTGTAGCTCAGCCTTGAGTTTTGATGTGTTTGTTCCCAAGGTAATCCTCCAAAAATAATTTAGATCTTAAAAATGGATAATCATATTCCAAAAAAGTGTTTCTTTACAAATTAAAAATATGCCATTAATTACAGCAAATTCCCGTTCAATCAAATGTAAAAACCAAATCAACTAAAAGTTAAAGTTGTAGTTATAGATTCAATCATTTGATATCACTATATACATTAGTTTAAGAGACAAAATTAGAATGCATGACAACTTTTTTTCTTTGGCATGGACAATAGCATTCAAAGAGTATTACCTTATTCTAGATACCTAGTCAGAGTTTATCATTCAAACCTCAACATGTTTATGTTGTGTCAAAAAAAACACTTTTTATCAAGTCCAGCTTATCTATTACCTCACTAAAACGTGGATGTCATTTAGTTAACTTTCACACATAAGAGATTACATATAATGAAGGAAACACATAGGAGATGGTGAAAAAGTACAACATGAAAACAAAGAGGAGAACCATAAAATGGTTATTATTTTGGTCACAATGACTAATATTTTCCTAATAGTCATTTAACTCTAACAGTATGCTTGACTCTATGATATTTCTTGGTTATGTTGCTTTTTTAGAAAATTGAAGGATGTAGTAAAATATAAGAACTTGTTTGGCTTACCCAACCCCAAATAATTTATTATGCTCATTGCCTTCTGGGAAGGTTCTATACACTGATGTGTGAAACCTCTGCACCTACTCACAAAATGTCAGTGGTAAATAGGAAGGTGACGCATCAACAGCACTTATGCTGCATCACTGAAATGCATAGTTCAATCATTTCTACTGAATATTTTCTTCGGAGATTGTTTTAGCTTTGATGTTGCCCACCTGAGCCCTTCAAAAAGAAACACACACACAAACGTTTTAGCTAAATATAAAGGTTTATAGTGTAAAAAGCATAGTAACATTATAAAAATTATAGTAGGGAGCAGTCAGGCTGAACAAACCTGCTTATTTTTATACAAAATTCTTTTTGATAGAATACAGCAATCAATATTTATCTGTTTTTATCAGAGTACTACAATGAAATCACTATTGAGAGGCAAAAATATGCTTCTTGTCTCAGTTTTCAATGATTTAATTTCTGTTGGTTCATTTCAGCAAAGATGCTCATGATTAAACAGGTATTTCTCTTAAAGGGATGATTGGAAAAACCTTTGACCTCTGTAGAAGTCTTCCTGTGTCCAGCAAAATGTCTACTGGGCTTTTGATTTTAATTCAAAGTCATTTAAATTATTCAAATAAAAACTAACTGTGAAAAAAAACATTGTTTTTATCTCTTTTGTTGAAAGTCTGGGCTGTATTGAAAGGACAATCAAATACACACCCTGGACATCCTCAAGCCTAATGAATGGATGAAGTGGTAGCTGGGGTAATACATCACCATGAGGGGTGGTTTAAAATGAGATTATCAAGATTGTTGTCACCAAAGTCAGATGACTTTCTGGTCTTGGGCCAATTATTCAAGAAGGCTCATCAATTAATCACTGCGACACACAAACAACCAGCGGGGCCAGGGGCCTTTTGGCCCCAATGACCTGGGCAAGAGGCCTGCAGCTGATTTTGTCAGATCAATTCGGTAACAACACATCGTTATTGCTCTACTAGACCGTAATGTTTTAAAGTATTAAATGTCACTTTGGACCTTTTCAACTGAAACAGTTTGGAAGTCAATCCATCCGTTACATGAAATATGAATGATATGTTAGCTAATATTCTATTTTTAACATAAACACATTACTGAAACAAAGATTTTTGATAGTGGTTGAATCAAACTTTTTAAAGGACTGTAAGGCGACACTGTTTCTAAATTACAACAAGCATATCTTTGCCATTTCTGTACTGTAATTTATTGTTACTTAGAGGCCAACATACATACTAATATCAATGTGTAATAAGCTAATATCTGCCTATAATACTGGCCCAGCTGATTCATTGGTCAATCTCTACTGTAAGGTGATTGGGTTTTCAAGTATAATATAATTTGTGATTAAAATAACATTCTTAACCATTTTTTCAAATATATAGTATACTGTTAAAAAAAAGCAGATTTTTTTGTTTGTTCCTCCAGGGAAGGAATTAAAAATGACACAATGCATGAAAAATGAAAAACAATCAATTAAAGTAAAACAGATAAATGATCAAATGTATGGCATTTCTGTTACGGGGCCCCTGAAAGTAAAGAGTCGAAAGTGTTACGCAAGTACCCGGGCTTGCTAGTACAATGCCGTCATCAGCAGCACTGAACAAATTTTTGACTGGTGATGAATAATCTTGAACTCTTTACACGAGATCTGTTGCCATCAGTTCTTTCTAAATAATTCAGGTTGGGGTGATTAAATCACCCACAGTGAGTGACAGATGTAGGATTAACATGCTGGCCCCTGGTTGTGCTGAGCTCAGGCGTTGGGTCTCAGCACTAACTGACACTGGGATCACAGAGGCTATGCTGGAAGCATTTGCCAAGTTTGATTATGTAACATGGCCCGGGCAGTGTATGTTAGGCTTTGTGTGGCTTGGTGTCACACACACAGAGTAGAAGTGAAGCTTTCAGGATTAGTGGTGGACAGCGTTAATGAGTGCCTAATGCATGAAAGTATTATAGATTCTTCATCAGTGTAACACGGGTTGTGAAACTCAGAACTTGACTTTACTCTGAAAGTGAGTCATTTTTGATAGCTATAATTTCAAACTACTGTACTGAAAAAGTAGGATTAGACACCAAGAGGTCCTGGATAATTAAGGGCATGTCGGGATAAACTACCCTGCAAGTGAGATGGTTGCTATAATCCC